CATTCAGTTTGTTGGTTTCATCAGTCACCTTTAAGTAATTGACTCTCAAATTTGGATTTTTATCCTTAGTATTTTACCTACAGGTAAAATTTCCAGCTGAAATGAATATAGTTTACTCAAAGTAGCTCTGTATTCTTGTTCTTTCATTTCTTTTTTTTTTTTTTTGAGACGGAGTTTCGCTCTTGTTACCCAGACTGGAGTGCAATGGTGCGATCTCAGCTCACTGCAACCTCTGCCTCCTGGGTTCAGGCAATTCTCCTGCCTTAGCCTCCTGAGTAGCTGGGATCACAGGCATGCACCACCATGCCCAGCTAATTTTTTATATTTTTAGTAGAGACAGGGTTTCACCATGTTGACCAGGTTGGTCTCGATCTCTTGACCTCATGATCCACCCGCCTCGGCCTCCCAAAGTGCTGGGATTACAGGCTTGAGCCACTGCGCCTGGCCCCTGTTCTTTCATTTCTGTTGATACTGTCATGATTTTTTATTTCTAAAGCCTTAAAAATCACATTGAATTGTCTCTTTCGTTCACTAAATCCATTCATTAGATTAAGAATCTTTCATTTTAATTCTCATTGACAGTGTCAATTTTAGATCTTCATTTCTCAAGCTATATTGCTATAATGGGTTCTTATGTCCCATTAGCTGCCAAATCAAAATTTATCTTTGTGTCTCTGTCTTTTTATTGAACTATAACATACGTACATGTACAAATCAAGTGCTCAGCTTGATGAATTTCATAAACTCAACATACTTGCTTAACTAGCACCAACAAATTAATCTTTTTAAACTGTTGTGTTCATGATCTTGGTTTTCAAAAATTGTAACCTTGTGCTGACACAAATTAATTTATGGAGTTTGGGCTTATTAGTTTCTTGAGCAGAGGACTAGCAGAAGATAATTTGGCATGCCATCTTTCACTACTTGTCACATAGAGTTTGATTTTGGAGACATTTGGTTTTTTTTTTTACTATACCTCATACTCACTGTTTTTTTTTTTTTGCCCTATACTGCTCTATTTCCTGAACTACATTTCCCATTTGACTTTTTGTAGTCTAAATCATGGTCACTATTTCAGTCCTAATTTATATATTGCCATTTCTAAGAAATTTTCTGGGTGATTCCAATTTTAATTAATTTGCAGTAATATTTGCAACAACAACAACAAAAACCCAGGAGATATCTGAAATATCTACCAACAGGAATTTTCCTTTTTTTCTTTTAAAGACAGTGTCTCACTCTGTTGCTCAGGTTGGAGTGCAGTGGCATGATCTTGGCTCACTGCAACCTCTGCTTTCCAGGTTCAAGTGATTTTTGAGATGGAGCTTCACTCTTGTTGCCCAGGCTGAAGAGCAATGGCATGATCTTGGCTCACTATGACCTCTGCCTCCCGGGTTCAAGCAGTTCTCCTGCCTCAGCCTCCTAAGTAGCTAAGATTACAGGAACCTGCCACTATGCCTGCCTAATTTTTGTATTTTTAATAGAGATGGGATTTCGCCATTTTGGCCAGGTTGGTCTCGAACTCCTGACCTCAGATGATCCATCCACCTTGGTCTCCTAAAGTGCTGGGATTACAGGTGTTGAGCCACTGTGCCTGCCCCCCCGCCCCCAGCATTTTTTCTAGGATAAATGTGGTGTTGATGCAGTTCTTCAGCTTTTGTTTGTCTGGGAACATCTTTATTTCTTTTTTCTGCTTAAAGGATATTTTTACCAGATATGCTATTCTCGGGTGAAAGCTTTTTTTTTTTTCCCTTCAGCACTTTGAATATTTTATGCCACTCTCTCCTGCCGTGTAAGATTTCCACTGAAAAGGCTACTGCCACACATATGGGATCTCCATTGGATGTTATTTGTTTCTTTTCTCTTGCTGCTTTTAAGATCCTTTCTTTATTCTTGACCTTTGGGTGTTTGATTATGAAATGCCTTGAGATAGTCTTTAGGTTAAATCTGCTTGTATCTTTCTCTAGGTTTGGAAAGTTCTCCGTTATTATCTCTTTGAATAAACTTACTACCCCAATCTCTTTCTGTACCTCCTTTTTAATTCTAATTACTCTTAGATTTGCCTTTCTTTGGCTGGGCATGGTGGTTCATGCCTATAATCCCAGCACTTTGGAAAGCCAAGGTGGGAAAATTGCTTGCACATAAGAGCCTGAGCAACAAAGTGTGACCCCCTTCTCTACAAAAAAAAAAAAAATTAAAATTAGCTGAGTGTGATGACATATACTTGTAGTCCCAGCTACTCGGGAGGCTGAGAAGAGGATCTCTTGAGCCCAGGAGGTTGAGGCTACAGTGAGTTGTGATTGTGCCACTGTACTCCAGCCTGGGTCACAGAGAGACTGTGTCTGGGGGTGGCGGCGGGGGAAGAAGATTTGCCCTTTTGAGGTTATTTTATAGTTCTTTTAGGCATGGTTTATTCTCTTTTATTCTTTTTTTCCCTCTGACTGGTATTTTTAAATAGCCTGTCTTCAAGCTCACTAATTCTTCTTCTGTTTCATCTATTCTGATATTAAGAGACACTGATGCATTCTTGAGTAAGTCAGTTGCATTTTTCAACTATAGAATTTGTGCTTCATTCTTTTTATTTATTTCAATCTCGGTTAAATTTATCTAGATAGAATTCTAAATTCCAGCTCTTTGTTATCTTGAATTTCTTTGAGTTTTTTTTAAACAGCTGTTTTGAATTCTCTGTGTGAAAGGTCCCGAATCGTTCAGGCCAGGCTTGGTTCCTGGTGCCTTACTTAGTTTGCGCATGGAGGTCCTGTTTCCTTGGATGGTCTTGAATCTCGTGGATGTTTGTCAGAGTCTGTCCATTCAACAGTTAGATATTTATTGTAGTCTTCAATTCTGTGCTTTATTTGTACCTGTCATTCTTGGGAAAGCTTTCCAGGTAATTCAAGGTACTTGGATGTTGTGATCTAAGCTGTATCTGCATTAGGGGCCACTCCAAGCCCAGTAACACTATGATTCATACAGACTTGTAGCGGTACTGCCTTTGTCGTCCTGGGTAAGATCTGAAAGGATTCTCTGCATTACCAGGCAGAAATTCTTGTTCTCTTTTGTTACTTTCTCCCAAACAAAATGAGTCTCTCTCTCTGTTTTGACTCACCTGGAGCTAGGGGTGGGGTGAAACAGTCACTGTGTTGCTACCAGTACTGGAACTGCACTGGGTCAGACCCGAAGCCAGCATAGCACTGGGTCATGCCCAAGGCCTGCTGTAATCGCTGACTCCTGCTTATGTTTGCTCAAGGCCCTAGAGCTTTCTAATCAACAGGTAGAGAAGTCAGCCAGGCTTGTGTTCTTTCCTCAAGGGCGGTGAGTTTCTGCAGGCTCCAGGTGGGTCCAGAGATGCTGTCTGTTAGCCAGGGAGTGGAGTCAAAACCTTAGAAATCTACCTGGTGCCCTGTTCTACCATGGCCAAACTGGCACTCAAGCTACAAGACAAAGTCTTTCCTGCTCTTCTCTCTCCTTTCCACAGGTAGAAGAGCCTCTCTCCCTGGCCACCACCACCACAGGCCCACAGGAAGCACTGCCAGGCTACTGCTGATGTTGACTTAGGGGTCAAGGTTTCTTCAGTCAGACTGTGGTGAATGCTGCCAGGCCTGGGACTTAACCTGCAGGGCAGTAGGCCCTTATCTGGCCAAGAGCAGGTCTAGAAGTAACGTCCAAGAGGCAAGGCCTGGAATTGGGCTGTGAGAATGTGGTTGATACTCTACCCTACTGTGTTCGAGCTGGTACCTAACGTGTAAGACAAAGTACCCTTTACCTTTCTCTTCATTTTTCTCAAGCAGAAGAAGTCTCTCACCATAGCCACTACAGCTGGGAATGTGCGGGTTTCACCTGAGGTTATCATGTCTGAGTCTGACCCAGGGCCCACAGTGTACTACCTGGGTATCACTGGTGGTTATTCAGGGATCAGAGGCTCTTAAGTCAGCAGGTGCTGAAGCCTACCTACTAGGACTGGGTCCTGTCTTTTAAGGCAGCAGGCTTTTTTTGGGCCCAGGTTATGTTTAGAAATGTCATTCAGGAGGTAGGGCCTGTAATGGAGGTATAATGACTCTGCCAGTGCCCTGTACTACTGTGGCTGAGCTGGTATCCAAGAGGCAAGACAACATTCTCTTTACTCTGTCTCGTCTCCTCAAGCAGAAGGATGGAGTCACTTTGGTTGCTGCAAGCTATGCTGGCTGGGGTGCAGAAGGGGTGTTGCAAGCCCTCCTGTAGTCTCCCTCTCTCATGTGTCTCTAGGTTGCTGAAACTCAAGTTCTGACTGCTGGTATGGCCAATTGCCCTCTGGCTATGGCTGGTCTAAATGCTTCCTTCCTGGGTGGGCATTGGCTGAGTTCATCCTGGTTTTGCTTTCTGCTGTGACAGGGCAGCAGTGAGTTTATTGCAGAGTCCCACAATCTTGGTGCTCTCTCTCTCTCCTCCAAACATACTCTGTGTACCATGTGACCACTCCCAGGGAATGGGAGAGGACTGGTCTTGATGATTCAAGACTGTGTTTTCTACCCTTTTCAGTACCTCTTTCAGCAATAGGAAGTTAAACCTCGTACTCTGATTTCTCAGCTGATTTCTGGTTCTTATGAAGGTGATTTTTGTGTGTGTAAATAGTTGTTAAATTAGGTGTTCCTGCAGGCAGGGGGGCGGGGGCACAATTGGTGGAGGCTTTTAGTCATTTATTTTAGTAGTGTTTTTGTTGCATTACATAGGATTTTCTTCATATAAGATGATATAATTTGCAAATTAAGATAGTTTTACTTCATCCTTTCCAATCTGAATGCTCCTTTTATTTCATTTATTTCATTATAATGGCTAAGACCTCAGTGTAATGTTGAAGCCACAATAGAGTGGACCTCCTCATCTTGTTTCTGATCTTTGGAAGAAAGTATTCAGTTGTGATTTTTTTTTTTTTACCCCAAAGAAGAATCTATCATAACTTTTTTTTTTTTGAGGACAAATTTCCTTTTTATTTAAGAGTTTTTCTCTTCTGTTTGCATACACAGATATGTGCTGATTAGAAGGCTCGCTTGTGCAGTGTGGAGGATAACCAGTGCCTTACAAAAATGGGGTTTGGGAGTGACCTGAAGAATTCACATGAAGCAGTGTTAAAATTGCAAGACTGTGAATTACGGTTACTGGAAACAGTAAAGAAATTTATGGCCCTGAGAATAAAAAGTGACAAAGAATATGCATCTACTTTACAGAACCTTTGTAATCAAGTTGATAAGGAAAGTACTGTCCAAATGAATTATGTCAGCAATATGTCCAAGGTAAGAAGAATATTTTCATCATTTGTTATTTATAGCATCATAATTGTCCTTAAAATGCAGTAGATCATAGTATTGAATGAGCATACTCAAGTCAGCATTCTAAAGCAGTGATTCCACAATTTTATAGACTATGAGAATCTCACGGAGAAGTTTTTAAAAATTATAAAGTTTGAGATTGCCGGGCATGTTGGCTCACATCTGTAATCCTAGCACTTTGGAAGGCTGAGGCGGGAATGTCACTTTAGCCCAGGAGTTTGAGACCAGCCTGGGAAACGTGGTGAAATCTTGTCTCTACAAAAAAATACAAAAATTAGCTGGGCATGGTAACATGTGCCAGAAGTCCTAGCTATTTGGGAGGTTGAGGTGGGAGGATTGCTTGCGCCTGTTCAGTCAAGGCTGCAGTGAGCTACGGGTGACAGAGCGAGACCCTGTCTCAAAAACCAAACCAAAACAAAAAATTGGTGGCTGTATCTCTCTAATATTCTGACTTAACGGGTCAGGTTTGAGAACCATTGTTACACATTTTGATTTATTAACTCTTTTGGTTTTGGGTCATTTGAACCCTGCTATTTTTCCCTTTTGCACAAACTTTAGTTATAGACCACTCCCTGAATTCTTCTGGGAGTGTTGTGAATCATATGGAATATTTTAGCGTGTAGTTGTTATTTGCTATCATTTCAGTACAAAAATATTAGTATATTGTCGAGTTAGTCACTTTTAAAACATCTATTGGATGAATAATGAATTTTTAATCCAAGATTATTCTACCATATAAAAATAAGGGCCAGAATTGTACTGTTAATTGTTCTTTGAAAACATTGAAGAAGAAATATTAAACTCTAATAGTTCTTGGATTCTTGCTTTGTTACTTCCAATGTCTTAATTTAATATCATATTTCACTATATTTATTCTAAGTTAAAAATAAATCTTTTTTACTTTAGAATATTAAATTAATTTTCTTTCACTTTTGGGTCTTAGGATTTGAGTAAATTTTAGAGGAAAACTGTTACCCGTGGAGAATGCATATATAGTGTTTGATTTGTGATTTTGTTAAAAGCCCACTTGACTGGGCCGGGTGGCTCACACCTGTAATCCCAGTACTTTTGGAGGCCTAGGTGGGTGGATCACTTGAGGTCAGGAGTTCAAAACCAGCCTGGCCATCATGGTGAAATCCCACCTCTACTAAAAATACAAAAATTAGCCAGGCATGGTGGCACACACCTGTAATCCCAATTACTCGGGAAGCTGAGGCAGAAGAATTGCATGAACCCAGAAGGCAGAGGTTGAAGTGAGCCAAGATTGCACCACTACAGTCCAGCCTAGGTGACAGAGCGAGAATCCACCTAAAACAAACAAAAAGAGTGGTCGCTAATGTTCATATCTTTAACTTCCTTTCTGGGCCAGTCTCTGGTTTGAAGGTAGAGCTGCCAGGATGGCCACAAAAAATACAAGACACCATTTAAATTTGCATGCAGTATTTAGGACAAACATACATTAAAAATTATTTGTTATTTATCTGAAATTTGAATCTAACTGGATATTCTTTATTTTATTTGCCTCGTTATCTGTGGGTATAAGCCTGCCATTATGTTAATGGGAATAGATAGGGAAAGTACTTTTGATATTTTAAGAGTCACATTTCATTCAATCTTCTTGTTTTTGGTAAGCTGCTCGGTGTCTCTGATTCCAAAGGCTTTCTGCTTCATATATCCCACTCGTTTTCTTTTCTTTTCTTTTTTTTTTTTTTGAGATGTAGTCTTACTCTCTCATTCAGTCTGGAGTACAGTGGTGCAATCTTGGCTCACTACAGCCTCCACCCCTGGGTTCAGGCGATTCTTGTATCTCAGACTCTCAAGTAGCTGGGATTACAAGCAGGGTACCACTACACCTGGCTAATTTTTGTATTTTTAGTACAGATGGGGTTTCACCATGTAGACTAGGCTGGTCTTGAACTCCTAAACTGAAATGATCTACGTGCCTCGGCCTCCCAAAGTGCTGGTATTACAGGTGTGAGCAACTGTGCCTGGCCTACCAACAGGAATTTTTGATGAGAAAAGATTTAAAAAAATTGTCACAATGCATTCAGAAGCAAAAGTGATATTTTTTCCAAGTTACAGAATGAACTGATCCACAATATGAAATAGTTTTTTAAAAAATGTAAAATATTAGTTGGGTGCAATGGCAGGCGCCTGTAGCACCAGCTACTTGGAAGGCTGAGGGGAGGATTGCTTGAGGCTAAGAGTGAGCCACTGTACCTGGTCTCCTGCTTCTTATGTAGACTTGGAATCAATCCCTCTGTTTTAGCATGCTCTTCTCTTCCTCCATTTGTCCCAGCTGTCTCCAGTTCCTGAGCTTTACTGGAGTCATCTGACCTCATAAATCTTGACCTCCCTTTTGCAGGACACTTAACGTTTTCACTTCTCCTCATGTGCTAATTAGTTACCACTTACCTGCTTTTCATTTTCTTATGTTCTGTTGACATGTCTTATTTACCATTGTCTCATAGTTTCTATTTTCTTTGTTATTAATTTATACATTAAATTATCAGTTGAACGATGAGTGGGAACTCACAGAAAATCAAGGAGTATGTTAGCTTTTCCTCCTTTTTTTTTGTTTTAGGATCTTGCTCTGGCATCGAGACTGGAGTGCAGTAGTGTAGTCATGGCTCTTTGCAGCCTTGACCTCCCAGGCTCAAGCAATCCTTCCACCTTTGCCTTCTGAGGAGCTGGGACTGTAGGCATGTGCCACCATGCCTGGCTAATTTTATTTTTTATTTTGTAGAAACGGGATCTTCGTATGTTGCCCAGGCTAACCTTGAACTTCTGGGGTTAAGAAATCCTCCTGCCTTGGCCTCCAAAGGCTCTGGAATTACAGGCATGAGCCACTGTGCCCAGCCATTATTTCCTCTTAACACAGGAAAATTATCATTTATTCCAACTATAAGTAAAGTCAAATTTATAATTTTTTAAAGAGGATTGTGCTTCTGTTATATATTAAAAAATCTTTGCCTGACACAAAGTTAAAGTTTGCCTATATTGTCATCTGGAAATTATATCATTTTAAGTTTTGTGTTTAGGTCTATAATTTATTTTTGGTTAATTTTTTTTTTTTTGAGACAGAGTTTCGCTCTTGTTACCCAGGCTGTGGTGCAATGGTGTGATCTCGCCCCCTGGGTTCGGGCGATTCTCCTGCCTCAGCCTCCTGAGTAGCTGGGATTACAGGCACGCACCACCATGCCCAGCTAATTTTTTATATTTTTAGTAGAGACGGGGTTTCACCATGTTGACCAGGATTGTCTCGCTTTCTTGACCTCGTTATCCACCCGCCTCGGCCTCCCAAAGTGCTGGGATTACAGGCATGAGCCACCACGCCCGGCCTATTTTTTGTTAATTTTTATATATATGGCAAGCTATGGATTGAAGTTTATTTATTTATATTTTTGCTTTATGATATCCATTTGTTCTAACACCATTTGTTGAAAATACTAAATTTTCTCCGTTTAATTGCCTTGGATCTTTGTTTAAAATCAGTTGACCATAATGTGAGTCTATTTCTGTACTCTTTATTCTGTTTCATTCAGATTTTTGTCTGTCATGACACCAGTAAAATATTTGATTATACGTAATAATGTCAAAGTCAAGTAGTGTATAGTAGTCATCCCTTATTTATGGGGGATATGTTCTAAGATCTCTAGTAGATGCCTGCCTGAAGCTGTGAATAGTACTGAACATCCATTGTTGTCAATCAGAATATGTTTCTGTTCATGCTTTTTATCCACAAATTTAATGCCTTTTCCATCTTACTAAGGACTGATTGCACACTATGCATATAACTTTTGCAGTTTGAAATATAACATCAAAAATTCAAAGGCACAGATTTCCTTTTTCTTCTTCACAGTGGGGTGGATAGAATATTCACTGTTACCATAGCCCTTAGCAACCTCAGCATGTTTTTTTCTTAAGTTGAGAACTTTTCATTCCTTTAAGGAGACACTTTCTGACTTTTTGGCCTATCCAAATTACCAACATCACTATCCTTGAAGTTTGTCACCATTATTAAGTTAAGATTCCTCAAACACAAGCACTGCTATAGCAAGACAGTTGATCTGAGAACTGAGTTACTAAGTGAGTAATGTGCAAGTAGCATATACAGCATGGATACACTAGACAAAAGGATGATTCATGTCCTGGGCAGGACAGCGTGGGAAGGCTAGATATTTCATCATACTACTCAGAGTGGTGTCACCTTAAAACTAAGGAATTGTTTATTTCTGGAATTTTCCCTTTCTGGACTATGTGTAGTCGAAACTGCAGGAAGCAAAACAACAGATTAAGGGGTACTACTGAACTTGTTTTTTTTTTTTTCAAAATTATTTTGGCTTTTCTAAATTCTATGCAACTCCTTATGTGTTTTAGAAGCACCTTACCAATTTTTATTTTTTTAAAAAGGCTACTAGGATTTTGCTTGGAATTATATTGAATGTATAGATAAATTTGGGGCAAATCTATATATCAGTATTGGGTCTTCCAATGAGTAAAAATGGTATACGTTTTAAATTTTTAAAAAATAATTCAACTTTTATTTTAGATTCTGGGAGTACACATGCAGGTTTGTTACCTGGGTATTTTGTGTGATACTGAGGTTTAGGATACTTTACCAAAGTAGTGAGCATAATACCCAATAGTTAGTTTTCGGCCTTTTCCCCCATTCTTCCCTCTCCCCTCTAATATTCTGCAGTGCCCATTGTTTCCATCTTTATATCTTTGTGTACCCAGTGTTTAGCTGCCACTTATAAGTGAGAACATATAGTCTGTGGTTTTTTGTTCCTGTGTTAATTTGCTTAGTATAATGGCCTCCAGCTGCATTCATGTTGCTGCAAAGGGCATGATTTCATTCTTTTTTTTTTGACCATGTAGTATTCTATGGTGAATATGTACTGCATTTGCTTTATCTAATCCACCATTGATAGGCACTGAGGTTGATTCCATGTCTTTGCTAC